CCTGCATGTATTGTAAGTGCACTGCATGTATGCAGTGCCTGCAGAGATCAGAAGAGGGTGTGTCAGATCCCATGGAACTGCAGTTACAGACAGTGTTTAGCTTTTCTGTGAGTGTGGGGAGCTAGGGAACTGAATCAAGGTCCTTTTCAAGAACAAGTGATCTTACCCTGAGACATCTTCCCAGCACCTCACTTCTTGCTTTAGAAGGTACATGTCGACTGACAATGCAGCGACATACTGCCCTTCATACTGTGCTACAGGGACCATACAAATGCTAAGATACAGTATCTTCTCGCATCAACAGAACCTCCCTTTACAAACTGGATTCTCCTTTACAACCAGGCTACTTTGCTTGTGTCACTGACGTTCTTCCTGTGCCCTGAACTGTGGCCATCTGGGGGAGAAGTGTGAGTTCCATTCTAGAACATGTCAAGCTCACCATTTTGCCAACAAATGTAGGATATAAGTAGGAGAGATTGCAATTGAGAGTTCACCAGGGCTGTTAATCTATAGCAAAAGGATTTTTACCCTGTAAAATAATTACAGGAGAGTCAAGTGAAATAATACCTGCTTTGCCTTAAATGTTACTGAAGGATGAGAGGCATCTACTGAATTTTACTGTGTGTTCAATTTGGTGTATGTTTGTGTGCCTGTTCATTTATACATGTATGTATGTTATATATATATAATATATATACAATTCATAGACACACACATACACACATACATATATACTTACATATGGTGATACCTACCTTTGTGTTTGTGTATATGTTCATGTGTTTTTATGTATATTTACATATGTGTATGATCATGATTTTGTTTTTTGGTTTTTTTCAAGACAGGGTTTCTCTGTGTAACAGCTCTAGTTGTCCTGAAACACTCTATAGATCAGGCTGGCCTCGAACTCACATTGATCTGCCTGCCTCTGCCTCCCAGTTGCTTGAATTAAAGGCGTGTGCCACCACCTCCTGTCTCATGCTCTTGTTTGTGTATATATGTTCACACATGTGAGAAAGTGCAAGGAAGGAGAAGGAAGAGGAAGAGGAATGAAAGGATGAATATGAGCTTGAACAAGATGCAGACGAGGACCAGCTCTAAAATAGACTTCTTTTAGAGTTTGGGGGGACTGTGTGAAATCTGTGAAGGTAAAGGAATATTCCAATTACTTTGTGGTAGTGACTGTTAACCAAAAAAAAAAAAATCTTTTGTGAGTCCTAAGAAGTAGACAGATATAAAATAAAACTAATTTAGTTATAGTTAACTAACCAGATGTAAGATGATAGTGATATAGTTTTCAGATTTAAAAAATGATGCATTATCATAAAGATCTTGCTATTGCATCTATATTTCCCGAAGGTCCATGTGTTAGAGGTTTGACCCCCATAGTTCATGCAGCTGTTAGTAGGTGGGGGAACTTGTGCAGCTCTGTGCATGCCCTTGAAAAGGATATTGGGACCCCAGTCCCTTCAGTTCTCTCTGCCACAGGCTTTCACTGTGACACATTGCTTTGCTTCGGGCCCAAAAGCAGATCATGGAAACTTCAAAACTCTGAGGCAAAATAAGTAGATTTTTTTTTTCAGGTATTTTGTCAACTCACCCTAAAGTGCATAGCTCAGACCTCAACTTGAAATCAATTAAAAAACAAAACAAAAAACAAAACCAAAAAAACCCATTTATTTTGGTGTGATTTTGGTCAAGCCAGCCAGTGTCCTCATCCAATGACAGGATTAAAAGTATTAGTTTTGGTCTCTTCCACAGGGTAGTGCACAGAATTTATTTAAGATTTGGTGTAATAGTCAAGCAAAGAAAATGAGACCTGTGAGGAAAAGCCGTCCCTGTTGCGGAGATTTCTCTGGCCTTGGCGGAGTCGTGTTTACTGAGCTATCAGCAAGGAACAGTAACAATGGGATCGTATTTCTCCAAGAAGTGGTCTGGAAGGCGACCCTGGGCCTCTGGACAGCAGAGGGGACGAGCAGATCCACAGTTGTGGGTCCCAGTGGCTCGTAGAGGGAAATGGTGTCTGCCTTTTATCCGTGAGGGATTTATGAGCATGGCAAGACAGCTTTGCCTTCTGCTGTCTTTGAAAACATGCAGTGAAACAGACCTGTTTTATAATCTTGTTCAATTACGGATTGAATTGAATGAGTCAAGGAGTCCAAAAGAGTCAGCCTGAAAATTCTGAGAAGACTTAACTCTAAAAGCGGAATTTGATTAAGGAGAATTACATGAGGGGTGGAAGCTTGGTGAACTGCATGGTAGGCTTGGGAGCTGGAAGAGAGGGTGAATTGCCACGGCGTAGTCAGCTAGGGTAGGAAGTTGCAACCTGGTGGCCACTACTCAAGGGAAATCTGCCTGTATACTTGGATCATACATGACTTGCACAAGGTTGGGCCTGTCAACGTTCTGTGATGGGTGGGGCTCCTAAGGTCTTACCCCTACCTGAGGAGCTTTTGGCAGTTAGTGGTTACCAGGGAAGGGGAAGACCTTTTCTCCAGCGATGTAGCCAATGATAAGTTGCCCATGTTCCTGTATTCCTATAAATACCTTGCTCTGTTCATGTGAACAACTCTAACCTCATCGATCTCTCTCACACACATAGATACATATGTGCTCACACACAGGACATGAAAGAAGAAGGGAGGCTAGCTGGAAAGAAAATGATTAGTAGGAATGGAAGGGGTAAGAGACACGATGGGGGAGTGACCGTAACATATGTGATTAACAAGTGCTAATTAACACATTTGATCCCTAAAAATGTGTATGTGAGGATTTGATTTGGTGTAATATCCAAGCAAAGAAAACGAGACGTGAGGAAAAACTGTCCCCACTGCAGAGATCTCTCTGGCTGTGGCCAGATAAATCTGGGGATGGACAGGAAAAGGTGATCTCTTTGCACCAGATACATACATGAACTGACAGGAACACTCACATTTAGGAATTACATTTAATGCATGGAAGTTGGCTATCTATTAGAGTGATGGACACAAGACATTCTCTGACTCTTAGGGAAGATGGCCCAGATGGTATCATCGCCCCTGTCTTCAGTCTTAGTGCTACTGGGGAGGCTTCTGACAGTCACAGTTCCTTCTTGTTTATTCTAACCATTCCAGCTCAAGTCTCTGGCAGCAGGGTCAGATGCCTTCTTAAATTCTGCCTGGGAATCCTGGCTAGATTCACTCTAGTGTACTTCCTGCCCGGAAGGCCTTTGAAGACCTGGCCACTGAGAGGTCCGGAGGGCAGATTTTTCCTTGTGGTCATCATGTCTCTCTTCCCACAAGTTCTTGCACTGTCATTCTTGACCAGGAATTGCCAAGCAGGGACAATACCAGTGGCTCAGGGCTTTCTGTGAGGGGCCTCATTCTCTGAAGCTCTGGTTTCCCTGAGGTTGAAGGATACAGCAGAGCCCCTGGGAAGAAGCTGTGAGGCATTGGGGCACTGAAAGAGCCATGGCAGAGAGGCTGGGGTCAGTGCCCAGAGTGGCAGCACCTAGCTTGGGACTCTCCCAGGTCAGGGTCTAACCCTAGCCCTAACCCTAGCCTCAGTCAGCTTGACACTGAGCGCTGTGATCTGCCCTCTGAGTCTCGCTCCTCTCTCCTTCCTTATGGGGTCAGCATTTCAAAACAAATCAGACTTCCCTTCTCTCCTGCCTGCCAATGTCCCTCTAGCTCCCACGTCCCTCTCCCCGGGGAACTTTCCCTTCCACATCTCACAGCCCAGTTGGATTCTCTCTTACCTCTGAATGGCTGAATTTATTTTAGACCGTGGAAAAATTCAGTCACTGCATTAATCAGATTAACACAGTGTACCAGTGGAGCCCAGTGTCTCTGAATTATCTGTTACCTTACAACTACAATACTTATCATTTACACAAGTATTTTTGGGGCTACAATTCTGCAAATTATGTAATATTACCAGTTTTATGGATGGGAAACTGAGGTGCAGAGAAATGAAATTTTTCTAAAGGCAGACAATAGTAGGTGACCCGTTTGAATTCTGAATTCTCATTCTAGAACTTTTCCTATGAAGCCTTATTGCCTCTCCTGTCACCCCAAGGAGGGGCCAGGTCAAACAACAGTGCTTTGAATTATTTTCACCCAGTTTTCCCTCCCATTCTGACCAGCTTTTGACTTACCTTTTCAGAAACCAACTCCTCACATTCTCTTCCCCACTCCCAATCAGTCCCTCACCTGGGTGGTCCATTTTGGACACTAATAAGTAAATGGCGAAGTTCAGGAAAGAACAGTTGCAATTCCAGGGGTTTCCACTTAGGTACAGGGTCTGGAGTACCGCCAGGTGGTGCAAGGCATCGTGGTCAATGGTCCGCAATCCGGTGTTTCTGAGGTCCAGGTACCTCAGAGAGCTGGTGTTGGCAAAGGTGTGTTTGTCAAGGGACAACAGGTGAGGGTTGTTGGAAATGTTCAGCCGCACCAGGTTGCTGAGCACCGAGAAGCTGAAAGGGGAGATGGAGGTGAGGTTGTTGAAGCTGAGGTCAAGGTAGATGAGTTTGAAGACCCCGATGAAGGTATAATCCATCAGCTCTCGAATCCGGTTGTTCTGACAGTCCAGGTAAACAAGGTCACTGAGGAATCCTAGCTGCAGAGCTGGTAAGCTGGTGATTTTGTTATTGTTCAGGAGTAGCCTCCGGGTGTTCAGAGGAATGTTCAGTGGGTATTCCATTAGCTGCATACCTGTGCAAGAGACTTCTTGGGCTTGACACAGACAATTGACTGGGCAGTTGGACCCTGATACCAGCCCCATTCCTAGAGAAAAGAGTAAAAACTGGGGGCCAGAGCTTGAAGCAAGGGACATAGTAAGAAGCCACGGTTCCCCTCCTTCTACCTTCTTGAGGGCGGGCACAAGCTGTCCTGATCTGAAGGCTGCGGAGGGGTGGGGCAGGGCAGGGGCTGGGTGCTGGAAAAACTGTAACACTCTAGCTTTGTGCAAAAGCAATTTTCCATTACAGGAGAACTGAACAGAAGTTGAAACACGAGGCCCAGGGCTTGGTGACTCTGCCGCTTGCTCAGTCCGGACTGCTGTTGGAAGCTTGCCCACTTGGCGACTTTGAAAGGTCTCACCCTTTCCCTGCCTTTGTAAGTGAAGGGGAGCCAGGGGAGAACCACATGACAATGAGGTTGCCAGTTGACACTTTTGTGATGTCAGCAGCCTCGGGAGTCTGCCAGGCAGAGGGAAAGGTTCTTCTCAGCTCTTCTTCCGGGTGGTGTGGGGTGTTTTGTGTATGTAGATAAGCTTGCTCTCTAGAGGAGTTGGGCGTGTGGGCTGCAGGGGTCAGGCATGAGGGTATCGTGTGTGTGTGTGTGTGTGTGTGTGTGTGTGTGTGTGTGTGTGTGTGTGCCAGTACATGTTTGGAGCTCATACCAACTCCTCACAGACATGTCAGAGAGGATTTGACTAGATTGGAGCCCCTAACTCATAGGGAGGACCTGGGATGCCTCAAGCCCCATCATCCTTTCTGATGAGCAACTCTCAGAGTGGATATTTTCATGGGTTCTGAATTTTGAGGGGTGCTAGTTGCTTTTAGAAGATAGGAAAGGGGTTTGCCTCTTTTGTAACAAAACAATGGGAATTTCTCTGATAGAGTGGGACTCTAAGATGTTATTTCAGCCGGGTGGTGGTGGCACATACCTTTGATCTCAGTACTTGGGAGGCAGAGGCAGATGAATCTCAGTGAGTTTGGGGCCAACCTGATCTACAAAGTGAGTTCCAGTACAGCTGGGCTGTTACACAGAGAAACTCTTGTCTCGAAAACAAAACAAAAAGATTTAATTTCTAGATTGTATGTATACATCCTTGTTTACATTTGGAGAGAGAGAGAGAGAGAAAGAGAGAGAGAGAGAGAGAGAGAGAAACACATTAGTATTTCGAAAAGACTTAAAAAAAAAAAAACAATTGTAAGGCACTCTACTTAAAGCCAAAACAAAAACTGAATGTGATGATACGAATCATTCCTTACTCCTTGTATTTGCTGAGAACTTTAAACACAGTGAGTACATCTCTAGCGCCACTTCCATGAGTTTCTGGAGGCGTGGGGTCTGAAAGCTCTCTCTTGGATGTGTAACCTACTCCATAGGGGAAGCATGAGGCCAGAAGTGAAGAGACAGCACCTTGGGAATTGAAATCATACACTTACGGAAAATAGGATCGTACTCTTTAGAGAGCTTCATATATAATGTAGGTGGAAATATTAATAACTCAATAAAATCTATATTTAGTTTAACATAGTGCCTGGCACTAGGCATATAATAAATATTTATTGAATGAATGATGCGTGAATGTCTCTGAAGGTTTGCTTCCTTTTCTTGCATTTCTGCCAAGAGAGAAATTAATAAAGTCAAGTGGATTCATGGCTAGTTAGCTAATGCTTGATTTTGTTTACTGACTCAGCATTTCTTGGGTGACTGGCTGGGAATTAACACAATGACTTAGGGATGTTTACTAAATTGAAAGTGACCTTCTTTGAGCAGAAATTTCAAACACTTAATGTAATGACCTAAATGATAGTTGTACTAATTGAAACAAGATTTAATTGATAGGGAAGCCAGCCTTTCTTTATAATTAAAATAAATTCTGTTAAGAAACAAACAAACATAAGCAAGTCTCTCCCTTGAGCTTAGAAAATTGCTTGTGAGATAAATTTAGAACATAAAGTCTATAGAAGGAGATTAATCTCCAAAGTGGCCATTTCCTCTGGGAGTTGCAATGCAGTGTGCTACTCAGGTGGGGTCTCCTAGGGACACTTTATTAGCTGTGGGCCATGTGTGCTGGCCACTTCGTTCGCATGCGTGATGGTCACTGACTGACCTCCAAAGCGCTCAGAATGTTTTGACTTTCTACTCTATTTTTCTGAGAACCTTTTTAATTACACTGATTTACCAATGTGCATATTTGTGGTGTCTATGTGTGTGGAGACACGTGTGTCACATTGTGCACACGGGAGTCAGAGGACAACTTGCAGAAATTCTCTTCCACTCTTTGGGTCCTGGTGACTGAACTCAGGTCATCAGTCTTGGTGACAAGTAGCTTTACCCGGTGAGCCACCTCACTAGTCCTCCACCTTTCTTTTAGGCCATTCTTCCAGGAGGACAGTGAGGGGTCAGGTGAGCTGAGTGGTCGTGGGCAGGGTTCTACTTTTAATTCTATCTGATGGAGAATTCCCAGCGTAATGGTCCCTTCCTGGGGCCAGAAAACCTCCAAATGACTCTCTTGTGGACTAAAAGGCAGCATCTCTCATGACAACAGGGCAGGTGACACATGGCAAAGTAGTGTCTCTGAGACACTGAGGTTCTCTCGGAGTAAGGGTATAGGACTTACAAGACAGGCTGCTAAAGGCCCTCACAAGTTTAAAGCTGCAGCTAGACCCAGATATGAAAGTAGAAGACAGACACTTGATGCTTAAGACCACTTACACAAGGTAAGCAGCTCTCATGTGCTCACTGCTGAGAATTCTGCGAAGGAAGCTGCCGTACTTCAGGTGGTAAGGGAAGTTGACGTGGACATACTTTTGTTTGCCTAAGAAGAAAAGAGCAATGGGGAATAGATACGCCGTTTTATTAAAAGTGTGAATGGGCTTAACCGAGGGCTCAGATGGAGTTATCAATCAGTGGGACAGAGGCCAATACATTGCTTTTTCTTTCCTAGCAGTTAAACATAGGTTCATATCTAAAGAAGGTAAAATTTTGGTATGAGAGCCACTTAGGATATACAATTCACCCCAGACTTTGATCTTGCCTAGCTCTTCTTAAGTCTTCTCAGTGGGCATGGGGCTATGGGGCAATGCCAAGAAAAGCAGGTGCAAACAAATAAGGTAGTGTGGAAAAGAGAAAAAAGTTCCAAAGCATGGTGGAAGAGCAGGGCTAGGACCCACAGGCCAAATCAGTGTGTGTGTATGTGTGCATGTGTGTGTATACATATGTGTATATGTATGTGTATATATGTATATATACTGATATATATATAAATACACATACACACAATGTATATATATATAGCACACACACACACACACGTATAGATATATGGTCTGTTTTTAGTACCAGCTAGTATAAAGTACCATTATCTTTTCCTTCAAAGTTGTTTGAGTTCCTACTCAGGAAACTAGACCCTTAAGAATTGGAGGAACTCACTCCAATTTCTTGTGCTCCCCAGGAAAGCTTTTGTTTTCAGGATTCCTCCATATTGTGCATTTCATTATCCAGGGGTGACCAAAGGGAAGTCTCGTAACTGCATATAAGACTTAGTGGAGGAATTGGATCCCACTTCCAGCTCAGAACAGATGGGTCTTTGTACCATGACTAGGATTATTTAATGTTATTAGGTCTTGTGGTAGTCTGAATGGAATTGGCCCCCATAAACTCATAAGGAGTGACACTATTAGGAGGTGCGGCTTTGTTGGAGTAGGTGTGGTCTTGTTGGAGGGAGTGTGTCATTGTGGAGGCAGGCTTTGAGGTCTCATATATGCTCAAGCCACACCCATTGTTTCAGACCACTTCCTGCTGCCTTCTCCACTCTCAGCTCCTCCTCCAGCACCATTACTGCCTGCATGCCACCATGTCCTACTGTGATGATAATGCACTAAACCTCTGAAATTGCAAACCACCCAGTTAAATGTTTTCCTTTACAAGACTTGTCATGGTCTTGCTGTTTCATAGACAATAGAAACCCTAAGATGGGTTTAAAAGTGAGGTTGTAACTTGCAGCTGTCAGGGAGAGATGGCTTGGTTTTCCAGATGCCTTGTAGATTTCAGTGTGGGAGATGCCTGTGTAACGTAAGCTTTGAGAGAATATTTTATTGATCTTGGTGGTGATGGACATACACCTTTGATCCCAGTACTTTGGAAGCAGAGGCAGGTGGGTCTCTGAGTTTGAGGCTACCCTGGTCTACAGAGTGAATTCCAGGACAGCCAGGGCTACGCAGAGAAAGCCTGTCTTGAAAACCAAACAGAAGGTTTTATTTTGTGATGGGAGTTGTACGCCCTTCTGTTGTCTGGGTTTTTGTCCTGCCTGGTTTCTGTCCTCCCACCAGGTCCCCCAGCCATTTAGCCCCAAAGAAATCACACAAAGGTCTATATTAATGATAAACTGATTGGCCTATTAGCTCAGGCTTTTTATTAACTCTTATAACTTATATTAACCCATTATTCTTATCTGTGTTAGCCACATGGCTTGGTACCTTTTTCAGTGAGGCAATCACATCTTCCTTCTTCTGTGATTGGAAAGGACTGGGGAGGAATGGGCTTCCTCCTTTCCAGAATTTTCCTGTTCTCATTGACCTGCCTCTATTTCCTGTCTGGTTGTCCCGCCTATACTTCCTGCCTGGCTACTAGCCAATCAGCATTTATTTAAAACATAATTGACAGAATATAGACAATTGTCACATACCACCCTTCCTTCTTTCTGTGAGTAGAAGTCTCCCCTTTGGTGAGAGGGTGATGGACATTGCTTTTTACCATCTACCAGCGACAGGCACATGATCTTCTAGCCACCCAGAGAGTCCTGTGGTGCAATCTCACCTTACAAATGAAAGGAGACTCTAAGGAGTGCTAACACGCAAAGTTTCCCAGCAGACATGTAACAAGACTGGAGTCTGGGAGGGTCCAGACACAAGCCTTAACCACCAACCACAGCATTCACAAGTGCCCTCAGCACTAGGTTTTTCATGAATTCTGTGGGATAAATTGACCTACCCATCAGGCCCCTGGTTCTAATTGTGACTATACGCTGGGGCTCTCTGTCTTTCAGAAGGCCTATGGCGTTGTTTATCCTTGACATTCTTTTTTGTTGTTTTTTTTTTTTGTGGTGACAGATTTAACCTAGTACATGGTGCTAGGCAAGCACTCTCCACTGAGATTCCTAGCCCTCTTTATTTATTTATGTTTTTCCCTGTTTGGTTTTTGGAGACATAGCCTCTGTAGTTCAGGCTGACCTTGAACTAGCAGAGAATGGCCTTGAACTTCTGATCCTTCCACTTCCTCCATTTCCTAAGTGCTGGGTTTAATGTGCTGGGGATAAGAGCCCAGGGCTTCCTGAATGCTAGGTGAGCACCCTACCAACTGAGCCACATCTTCAGGCCCAC